GAGTGTGGGAATCGCTGGAAGGTAGCGCACCAAGGATATTACTGGCACTGAGGGGTGTTAGGGTAGCGGCACCCACGATGCTGCAGATGCTTAGCTGCTGCCCTCAGAGGTGCTTGCCAAATGCTGACTGGCTCTAGCAAGCGATCTTTCCTCCCAGCACAGAGGCAAGAGCTCCTGGGTTCATCCCATCTCTGCAGACAAGCTGGGGTCGAGTCTCACTTTCGCATTCCCTGCCTCCCTCCTCACATCCCCTCTTCTGCCGTGATCAGCTTCACAGTGCTTTCCATGCTCCCTCTGCCCCCTGAGAGATGGTGATGATGACATTCGGGATTTTAAAACTGCTCTTTCATACTGCGCACGGAGCTCGGGGGTGAGCAGAAATCTCCCGGTCAATGGCGAGCAGAAATGGCTCCACTACCGAGTACCAAAAAGTGTCACAGCCGAGAGATTCCAACGGGAGCTCTGTTTGGCCCCTACTCCAGGGGCTGAGCCCTGCCTCTGCAGAATCCCCAAGCCCTTGCCAGCTTCATGAAACAAGACCATCACCTGGATCCCTGTCTTCTTCTAGGCAGCACACAGCATGACCCGCAACTCCCCTTGGCAGTGAGGTTTTCTAATTGGGGTTTAAACTCCCTTCTCTTGCAGTTCTGCTGATATGTGCCATGGCCCGAGAGCGGCAGCCAAACGCAGATCAGACCGCAACCTCCATACGCCAGCACCCACGGCAATTGTGTATTGTGTCCCAAGTGAGTTTGCATTGTCACGCGCTGAGAGAGCGGCTGCGGGGAGCCCTGCCTGTCCGCTTGGGCCTCAGTGGAGAGCCGCAGTTGTGGGCCGACAGGTTGGCAGGAGAGCTCACTAAACACACCTAGTCGTTATTTTCTCATCTAAGCAAGTATGGTCACTTTTTCTTCAAAACTAATATTAAACATTTTTGTCAGTTTCTGACTTTTATTTGAACTGTGTGCGTGCAGCACTTTGCTTTTGCGGCAGGGGAACTTGATGGACGGACAGTGTCCGGATGGATGAGGACTTGAATGGTGCCTGGACCACCAGAAGGCAAGAAGCCACTTGTAGGTACATCCTTGGTGCATGATGGCTGTTCCTAGTCAACTCCTGAAATCTAAAAGACTGGGCCAAGTCCTGGGGTGGCTGGGTGGGCAGTAGTGGGCTTCCTCTCCTGGCTGAGGAGATGTGTTGATGGGGCACAGATCAGATGCTGCTTTGCATCTTGGCAGCATATGATTTTTGCAGTGATGCATACCTTCTCGTCTTGAACCTTTAAATGCTGACAGTGCAGACTGCAAGATGAAAGGACAGACATGGACCTGTTGGAGTGGGGCCAGAGGAGGCCATGAGGATGATCTGAGGGCTGGAGAACCTCTGCTGGGAGGAGAGGCTGAGAGAGTTGGAGGTGTTCAGCCTGGAGAAGAGAAGGAGCGGGGGGGACCTTAGAGCCCCTTTCAGTCCCTAAAGGGGCTCCAGGAGAGCTGGGGAGGGACTCTTCACAAGGGCATGGAGTGATAGGACGAGGGGGAACAGTTTTAAACTGAAAGGGGGGAGATTTAGGTGAGATATTAGGCAGAAATTCTTTCCTGTGAGGGTGGTGAGCCCCTGGCCCAGGTTGCCCCGAGAAGCTGTGGCTGCCCCATCCCTGGAGGGGTTCAAGGCCAGGTTGGACGGGGCTTGGAGCAACCTGGGCTGGTGGGAGGTGTCCCTGCCCAGGGCAGGGGGGTGGAAAGAGATGATCTTCAAGGTCCCTTCCAACCTAAACCATTCTATGAGAATGTGCCACCCAGGCTGTAATAGGCTGAAAGCGGGGTGACACCAGCCACAAAAAAAACCAACCCAAATGGTTGATTTGGGGGAGCAGGACAGGGAGGAAGGTGCGATAGGCCCGGGCGAGATTAATCTTGATACAGGGAGAAGCCATCAATAAAGGAGGTGGAGGGAATCCAGTGGAACTGTTAAAAGGGGGTCCCAGGCACTTTCCTGGGACTTTGTGTATGCTCCGCTCTTAGCTTGATGGCTGAAAGGCAGCTTGAATTTTCAGAGGGACTTGGAGAGGCTCAGGAGGAGGGGATATACTGTGAACACAGGAGAATTTTCCAGAGGCTTGGGACCTGGAGGAAGTAGGGATTACAGCTCTCGGTGGGAGTTGTTAGCACTTACTTAGCTCTAGAAATGGATGAGGTTTGAAGTGAGCTCAGAGCTGGTGCTTGGAAGGGGTGAGATAAAGGAGCTAGAAGCAGAGCAAGCCTCAGTTGCCACATCTCTGAGGGGACCTGCAGGATCAGGTTCTTTCTGAGGGGTAACTAGAACCTGGTGGGGAAATTAAGTCTCAGGCTGAAAGCTGTTGTGAGGGCAGAAAATCCCTCTTTCCTTTTCCCAGCCTTTATCCGGGGTGTCGCAGCGTTTAGGGGACCCCAGCAACGCCTCTGAATTTGAGGCCGCTCGGGAGCAGTCCTCTGCACTGCAGCTCTCGCGCTGACAAGCAGTGCAGGAGCATTTGCAGTCACATCTCCTATGGCATCGCTCCCCTCTTCCAGAGTGAAAAACAAGTATTTCCACTGGCTTTTCGGCATGCCAGACAGCAGACACTCAACAGAGACCTTGGAGATGTTTAGAGAGGAGTAAGCAGCCACATGAAAGCAATAGGAAACGTGCTCGCAGCCCCTTCGAGGGCTGTGCTCCTCCGGAGGCAGGAATCCCAACAGGATCCTTCGCTCAGGGCTTTCACTTTATGGGGTGCAGCCAAGTCTCCCAAGAAGGAAAAGATTTGAAGATGCTGACAACTCATTTAAGCCTCACAAGTCTTGTGGCAAATAGGATTATTCGAGCCAGGCTTGGGAGGGAACAGAGTCCTCGCAGTCATGCTCAAAAAAACCCTTCAGGATCTGGAACCCAAGCTGGCCAAGGCGCTCTGCCTCGTGCGCTGTGAACAGGAGCCAGCTAATTACCGCTTGCTGTTGCCTTTCTGCTTGTATTACTCTTAAGGAGGAGGGTTGAGCTTGGGTACAGCTCGCTGACAATCCTGAATGAGGTATGGGGAGTCCCGAGCAGGAGGAGCCCCTCAAAGCAAGAAAGAAGTACCATATTTTGGCCATTGTCTGTGCGGCTTTCTGGGATAAGACCAAGGAGAGGCGGTGAGGGGAAAGCTACTGCATAAAGAGCTGTCTCGGCAGTACAGCATCACTTGGAAGGTGTGTAAAAGCGTGAGGATGGGGAGCAAGACACTAGATTATCTGGTGGCAGCGGGGTCTTCCCTGGGCTGAGACCTCCCTGGTGTGCAGAGAGGTTCTGACCCACCTGCTGCTCTCCGGAACGGGTTCAGGGATGCTCACCCTCCCAACCCCGGGCTAAGAGAGAGTTCCTTTACTCACGGAGCAAACCGAGCACCCAGGACGAAAACCTCCCCGGTGCAGGGCAGGGATGCTGCCGTGGTGCAGGCTCGGCCCTCATGGGGGGGGAAAACCTGCCACTAACAACCAAATAATAACAATACCGCCATTCCTCAACAAACGAACTATCTCTGGTCTCTCTCAAAAATACATTTTCTTGAACTGTATTTCCAGCTTGGCAAACAAATCTAAATTTACTGACACGAGTTTCCAGGCAGTCGTGCCACTAGGAAGGAAGGAAACAAAAAGAAGCTGAGAGAATTGTTTGTCTGTTTAAAAGAAAAATCTCAAATAAAAAGAACCAGTGCTCTTTCTTTTTTTCTTTGAAAGGGATGAAGAGAGAAGGCGGGACGGGGTTGATAAATAGGAAACCACGGGCTGTTCTGGGTCAGGAAAAGCAAAAGATGAGTGTTGGTTTTCTGCAGTGGGGCTGAGCCGGGTGGCAGGACCCCGGTGTGGGCTTCGCTTCACCACGGAGGACAGAAATGTTTCGATTTGGGGTGCCAGGGCTCCAGTAAACCATTCCTCATGCCATACAAAACCACACGGGTAATCCACATCTTCCCTGTGGAGCCCTGCCGGCCCTGTGCCACGCTGCTCCCGAGGGACCCGGGCAGACCCCTGGGCTTCTCCCCGCTGGTGGGGCAGGCACTGGCCAGCCAGGAGCCTTCGCTTTCGGGGGTCCTGCTGCCTGCGGGTTTCTGCAGGAGGAAAAATAATACCTGTGTGGCCCACACGTGTGTTTTCCCCTTCCTTGAGGTCTGCGAACCGAGGGTGCGGGATGCTCTGGGTTTGGGCTGACGAGCGTGCGGTGTCCCAGGGCTGGAGTGGTATGATGGGGACCGGTGGAGGAGGCAGCTGTGGGGTACCCCCTGCCCACCCTCCGAGCACCTCCTTGTGGCCCCACTGTCCTTTCTGGCCCCTCCACAGCCCCTCGGGCAGCTTCAGAGATTGGGGGGGGCTGAGGCTCTGGGGGG